GAGATCACAAGTAGGCAGAGAGGCAGGCAGAGAGAGAGAGAGAGGAGGAAGCAGGCTCCCCACTGAGTAGAGAGCCCGATCGGGGCTCCATCCCAGGACCCTGGGATCACGACCTGAGCCGAAGGCAGAGGCTTTAACCCACTGAGCCACCCAGGTGCCCCTATTTCTCAGTTTTATGGATGCAGTGTCTTGCAGGGGACACTGTAAATGAGTAGAGTGCCTTACGCTATATGAAGTGCTTTCCCTTGCATTCAGCAGAATAAAATAAGTTTTAATGGGCTTAAGTGATTTGCTTAAAGGCACACAATTAATGTATGTGTGGGACTCAAAATCATGCCCTTTCCTCTGTTGTAAGTGTTCTATAAATATGTATGTATCGATCGACTTTCTACCTTTCATGACTAGGGAATAGGTTCAGGGGTTCAAATGCCACATCTTTACAATTTGGGCAGACTCAGAGCCAAGACAGGATGAGGATGAAGGGAAATATGTTTTACCCCTGCATGGGTTCTCTTTTTCAAAGACAGAATCGGGGTACTGGTATCAGCTCCTACGGGTTATAATGGTAATAATGATCTAAATAACTAACCATTACTTGAGCACTCACAATATGTTAGCACTTTATTAAGTCCAAATAATAGTCTCAAAGCCTTCCACATTGATCTTCTTTTAAAGATGCAGAGAATGTAGACCCAGAGAAGTAATGCTAAATTTTTCAATGTTGTAAATTTTGAAAAATGCTTATAACACGTTCTATATTTTATGAGTAAATGGGACGACTATCCGTGGATGTGATGAAAAGAAGAGAGATTTGATGCTGTGTGTGGCATGAGTGTATCTACTGTAACATGACTGATTTTCATATGCTATTTATAAAAAGTGGCTTCATGATCATTCTGTACGGTCATCTTATTTGTGGGTGTTGCCTTAAATGGGCACATGTGGAAATTATTTTGTTTCACTTAAAGACATGTGGGGGAAGGCTCCTCTTTGACACAAGAGAATCCTATGTATATTTCTCAAAAGTGACTTAAGAATAGCATGAGAAATAACACTTGCCCGTGGAGGCGGGGCCAACAGAGCACTGGGGGAGTGATTTGCATGCTGCCTCCCAGGCATTGGAGAGGGAGAGGATTGTAAAGAGCTGATTCCCTGGGAAAGAGGAATCAGGGATGATTTCATTGCGTGGTGACCCAAATCGTGAAGTTAAAGTTCCCTGCCTACTCTAGAAAAAAATGAATATTTTATATACATAATTTTTGACACTAGGTTCCTATTCCTAGATCTTCATTTAAAAAGGTAATTGGAATACCCTTATGTTTGTTGATGGCAAACATCAATATCTTGGGGAAGTATTTCTTGGCATAATCCTTCAATGTTAATTTTTTGTTTAAACAACTTTTTAGATGCTTCCAGGAGCCCAGGAATGAGATTAACTTCTTTTTAAGATTAAAAGGAAAAATAAGTTAGGAAGATCACAATATGAAACCTTTAGTCTGTTTTTCTTTTCCTGATTTTCACATTATTTCCTTTATATTAATTTTACCTTACTGCATATTCATGAAGACTGACTGAAATAAGAACTACATATTGAGTACTTTTTAAGAACTAAGGCTATGTCTTCTCCTTTTATGTGAATTATAGCCTTCAAAATATATATGTGTTGTATAATATGTACCCAATTCATGTCATTGAATAAATAAGTAAATTCATCCACCAGTCAATAAGCATGAATCCAAAAACTGTTCTAGAATATCATAGCCTCTGAAGACTAGAGTAAAAGTGAAGGCACTTTACTAAGTTAGATCTAAAGCATATGGAAGACAGAGTAATTAATAAATTATTTTCAAATTTCAAATGAATCAAAACTTATTTATTTAGTATCTGTAATATAGAAATATAGAAATCCCTTTAGTTCATGATTGGGAGTATAAAAAATGATGAAATCGGGGTCTCATCTTTCAGAGATTAACCATTAATCAGGAAGGCATGGCATATGCTCAGGAAAATTAAGTGCCCATGAATGGGACACATAGATGTATGTAAAAGATCCAAGAAATAGGTATGGAGTGGGAAAAGAGTTATTTGAGTTTGAACTTGAGGGTTAGGTATAATATGATGAGTTGAAATAGAGGAAAGGGGGATTCTATGTGGAGGGAAAATAAGAATTGGAAGTGAGAAGAGTATAAAACAAGCACAAACAAAATTGAAGACCTACAAATTCACAAAATTTCCCTGTGGAAAGCAAACTGATTGCTGAGGGGCAGGACTTGGGTGCCAGGGGACTGAATATAGACATAATTAACAGAAACAAAAACAAAATTTTGCAGCAAAAATTTGAACTTCATTTTCTAGACCTCATATCCAAATGCATGTCAGTAGGTGTTGAGTAAAGGGAGGAGGTAATTTGCTTATGTAAATTTAGAAAATGTGAGGCAATGCTCAGCTCTTCAACAGGATGGCTTGCTGTGTGCTTTCTCAGTAGCTTCCAGTTTATGGATATCAAGAAAGGACCACTGTAGGAATTTCACAGATATTTTACTATAGGATCACTTTCTTTGATTTGTCCATCTGTAATCCTATTTCTCCTCTGGACACATGTTGGGAATGAACAGTTTTTGATAGTTAAGGGTCACAGGGAGCATTGAGGAAAAGAAGGGTTGTGGCGAAAGCACTGATATGGGGAATATAATATGGTGGTAGTAGGTGGAGAGACTGATGTCCTCTGCAATAAAGGGTTGAGAAGATGTAATGATACACGGAGAGTGGAGATGAAAGTTTATTTTAAGATACAAAGCAGTAGAGTACATTTTTAGATCCAATCACTGCTTAGAGATGAAGTATTATAGCAAGAGCTGGAGATAAAGACTTGGGTGTAATTTGTGTCCAGGTGAGAGCACAGTCTGTTAGGATGGGTTCCCAGAAAGAGACTACAAAGGAAGAACAGAGGTTTCCACTCTTCATGGAAACATCTTTATTTTCTTGGAAGTGTGAGGAGAAAGATGATCGAGGTAAGACGAAATAAAAATAGTTTAGTCCAAAAAAGTGGGATTTGAGTAAAGATCTTGCTGTGAAAAGCTGGTTTTTGTTGTTTAGAAATGTACTGGGGATTTTTGCAAGATAAATTTTACAATAATTGTGAGAATGATAATGAACATTGGTGGAAGTGTGATTATTGAGAAGTAAGAAAATGAACATTGTAAGGCAGAACTTTCATGAAGAGGACACAGACACTGACCCTATTAGAGGAAGACGGGATTATTGGGAACCCGGAAGTATGGGTCAGATGGAATTTTGAATACTTTTGATGAGTTGATATAAGAAATGATGATTACATCACATGTTCATGGGCTTGAAAAACAGTGAGAGGTACTATAAAAAGCCAGAGAAAATGAAAAGTAAAAAAAAGGTAAAATCTGATAGCTTGTTTCCCAGGGGTATGGTCTTCTCAGTGAGGTGGTGTCTTATGGAATATTAAATTCTTGTTTGGAGGAATATGCTAGAGAATCTGAGGAGACCTCTTTTTAAATTTAATACCTAGTAACACATTTAGGAAATGACAGTAAATAGAAATAAGTTCTGACCAGAATTTTAAAATTATTGTCAAATTGTTTCACCATTTCATTTTTGTTAGAAAGTTAATCTTGAAGAATTATAATATTTTGGGGGCACTGGGTGGCTCAGTTGGTTCAGCATCTGTCTTTTGCTCAGGTTAGGATCTCCAGATCCTGGGATCGAGCCCCACATCGGGCTCCCTGCTCAGTGAGCAGTCTGCTTCTCTCTCTCTCCTTCTGCCCCTCTCCCCCACTTGTGTTCTCTCTCTCTCTCAAATAAAAAAAATAATAAAATAAAATCTTGTCAAAGTCCGGTTGCTTTGATGTAAGTGTTCTTTAAATGCTAAACATGTTCATCTTAGATGTCCTGAGGTTATTTCAACCTATGTTTTTCAATTTGAAATATTATCCTTGGGCTGTGTGTTTCATTGTTATCGGCTAAACAATACTACTGTCTAGAAAATCTCTTAGAAGTAACAATCCTGATATTTCATAAAGCACCCTGAAAATTTAAATGCCCATTAAGTATTCGGCAGGGGTACATTTCATTCATAATATAGCAGAACCTTCTAGTGTTCATGCTTGGTCATGTGTTCTCCAAAACTGCCTTATGGGGGTATATGTCATCTATTGAATAATTTTACTCAGATTTAGCTTTAAGTAAAATATTCTATTATTCATAACATCACCTTCTTGAAAAGGGGTTCAGGCCTTTCCAATATTATTCAAAAATATTACCAGCAGTCTTGTGCTGTAGGGGAAAATGACTATTCCATCTATTTTGCTCATATAAGTAAATGAAATGCTTGAGAGCCGAGAACCAAGAAGTTGGTTAAATTTCATAAGTGATTTGTAGAAATGGAAGTAGGATCTATGTCTTTTTCTCTAAGGTTCAATTCTGTGCCATAGGCAGTGGACAATGCATTTGATCCAAGAAAGTTTAAAGCTATAAATGTAAATGCCCCAAATTCTGCATTCTTTTAATGGAAACTTTTCTTGAAGAATTTTACTCTGTTCTGAGAAATTTTGGATTCTTGGTTTACAACATAGCACAACAGTATCGGCCAATACACTGCGAAGGGAGTTGTGTTGTACTGAAGTTTGATTTACCGTGCTTAAACATGTTAATTCAGAGCAAAAGGAGTCTCCAGGCAAATTCTCCAGGAGCAAGAAGACTGGTTTATTTGCTTTCCAAAGCCTCAGCCCAAGCTTGATCACTGATTTCATATGCAGATTGTAGATCTTCATAGCTGTAAGAACTTGCCCATCATTTACGATGATTTTGGTAGTTTTAATTTTTATTACAGACTTGATTTGGCCAGGTATTCTCATCAAAATAGTAGATCCACATCATAAAATGATTCTAATTCCCACATATGTTTCTGAGTAGCTTTCTTAGGTGATTTGAGTTTGCTGTTAATACGTGTTTTTGGTATCCATGTTTAGTTGTTACAGGGTAGGTCACCCAAACCCGACAAGTGGCAGCATCAGACAGGCAGTGGCGGTGGCATGGTTGAACAGGTCAGCGGGGACTGTGATGATGAAGACGGTTGTGAGGGATCAGGAAGTGGAGAAGTCAAGAGGACCCTAAAAATCACAAACTGTAAGTGTGTGGTTCCATCACCACTTCTAAAGAATGAATTTTGAAGTCTAATTTTGAGGATAATTATTAGTATGAATGCAAATGAATAAAGACAGTGAATTCAGAAGCATGAAAAAGGAATTGGAAATGACAGTGAACCCATTTTTAGTTATTCAGGACCTGTATTCTTGGGAATGTTATTTATTTTTAACTAATGGCTTTAAATGGAAATAGCGTTTTTTGTTTTTTGTTTTTTTCTGTGAAAGATTTGTGAACGACCAGTTACGAGAATTAAAGTTTTTAAAGTTGGATAATTCTCAGGGCTTGAAATAACGAGCTGGGTGACTATTAAGTGTCTATTGGTAAATGATGTGGAATCAGGATGGGTAAACTCTTCTAAATAATCAAACTCTGCAACTTCATTATATTTCGTCATTCTATAAGAAATAATCTTACTAGGTTTTCATCATAGTTGAATTACAAAGAAACTGGTTAAATGTAGGGTTATTTATAATGAAAAACTACTTGGATTTAACCTTACGAATTTGTTCTTCTCCAAAACTCTCACCAATCATTCACCTCATTCCAATTGTCTGGGTTTGAAACCATTTCCAGTATTGAGGGACTGGTCACCCCACAAAAGTGGAACTTCCAAATGACAACAACAACAAATCACCAGATGAGTTTGGTTTTCTTTTCTTCATTTTAAAAAATGAAGAATGTTGGCTCTTCCTTGTTACATACATGCAGATGTTCGGATGGGCAAGACAACCGAAGCTGTCACCTGAGAAAGCAGTGTGCAAGTTCATGGGTCCAAGGGAGCTACCTTTCAGCTCTTCATTTATCTGAGGTCATACCAAAGGTGATTACTTTAGAAAGTAATTTCGTGGACCTGTGCAGCCCTATCTGGAGGCTGGTCAGATAGTCTCCCTCTAAATCACAAAGGGCTGCTTTGGAACTATTAGACATGTCCTTTCATGACTTTGGTGGGAGAAGAATTCATTTACTTTTCACTTCTTGTAGTAAATTTAGAACACTACACATGCCTCAAACATCAATACTCCATTCTTCCTAGGATCCTGTTTTATAAGGCAAATATATTGGTTAAAGGAATGGAAGCCTCAGAGGTGCAAAATCCAAAGGGCAATTAATATAAAGAAATATGTTTTCCTGTTAGACACAGAAAGTAAATAGATGGGGTTTAGTACACGGCAGCAGCAATGGAACAAAGGACCACAAAAATTTCTTGATATATTAGGAAATTGCTTTCCTAGTGAAAATTAAATATCTTCTACTTGTGTAGGAGCAGATAAGGATATGTGCTTTTGTTATTGGTATTAATATAGTTTATCAGATTGATTCTTCTCTTTTCTATATTTTGCTGTTTAGACCAAAACAATGAAAAAGGAAGAAATAGAATAAGCAAATAAAAGTGTTTTCTAGAAAAAAAATTCTTATTAAGAGTTAAAATGTCCTCCATTGTATTTTAGAATATTGATACTTACCTATTAGGTTAATATTAGTTAATCTTTCTTTTTTTTTCATTTTTTCTTGAATATTTATGTGTATCGTAATTTCATTGTCATTTGAATATTAGGGTTTTAAAGAATAAACATTATTATAAAAAGTTTAGGTTGAAATTTCATCTATAAATTGTGTGTGTGTGTAAGTGTAGAATTAGCATTTTTATAGGGATTTTTTCATTCTTGGAGTTATTTATAAGCTCAAGAACTCCTTATGTATTAATAGATAACTCTTGTTTTGTTTGTTTCATAAGGGAAGTTGAGACAGTGGAGGATATTTAACTACTAATAATTTTCACACAAAACCATACTTGTCAAGGTGGCAAGAATGTATTTTTACTTCAAAATCCTGTTTTCAGTTATTACAGATGGGGACAGGTGTGGTACGAGCAACTATCCATCAGAATTGGAGAGATTCAAGAGATAGATGGTTTTTAGCAACTCCAGGCAAACATTAAAAAAAATCCACATCTGCTGCAAGTGGGCTGCTTCTCATGTTTCTCAGAGTTTATAGCTGTTGCCTTTCAATTTTTAATAAGTGGTTAGGAAACCACTGTGGATAGTAGGCTGAAATAAACAGGGACAGAGAAAGTAGCAAAGCAGAGGTCACATTTCTATTTTTATAAAACACTATCATATTTTCCTTGTGTTTGACTCATTTGATATATTGCTAAAGAAAGCTAAGACATAGTTTTGGGTGTTCTTAATGACTTAAAACTCATGTGCTCTAGCAAGTTTACCTGGTGTCGTTTGTGTAAGGGACTTGAAATGCACTATTATTTCTTCTGTTCACTGATGTGATTCTTTATTAAAAAAATTGTAAGTAGAATACATTTCATTTGTCACCTCAAAAATGTCTCATTAAAAATAGTTACACAAATATGTATGTATGTGTTTATAGCCATATATATATGTATATATATATATATGGAATGATACTAATATTGTGTTCTGCAAATTTAATTTTGCTCCATTTATGAGAATTTTCAAAGTTGATGAATATTTTACTAATTATCACTTGACTTGATATTCTGTCTGCATTTGTTTGTGTTGATTTCAGAAAAAAGTGCAAAGTTTTACCATCAAAATATTTATATACTTTTTAGGTATGACTTAGTTTTCATCACTGATGGTATCAAATAATTTAACAAATATTTAGCTCTTAAAACTGATGGCTGTCAGTTTTCAAATGATAGCTGATGTGTTTCTTATAAAAAGCAGCCACCTATACTGTACAGTGTTTACTCTTTGGAAACTGAAAACATTTCTTATTTCAGTAAGATGATTTAAAAATCCCAATCTTCTAGAAACTTTATTTTTTTTTATTGTATTGAATTTGGCTCATTTGTGTAGGTGTAGTTATTTCACTAGTAACCTGGAATTACAGGATATAAATGGCTTTGAACCTTCATTTTGCCTCACCTCTGACACTCACCCTCCTTTTAAGGTTGCTAATTAATTTCAGGTTCTAAACACCAGTGGAGAAAAACAAGTTCTGTTCTTTTAGCCAGGCAGAGCAAACCTACTGACACTATCATCAATACTTTTTCAACTACTTGACTATTCCTCTAATATCCCCAAATTCTGATAGTTTCAAATGAAAAACAACCCAGAATGCCACTAAAACACAGCTGTCACAAAACCATTTCATGTATAGTTTTAGAATAATAGCACTGCTTGCAATTCTCATGTGATAATATAATTTGAGTTTCCATTTTCAAAAACAAAGACTATGTAACCTGTGACCAAATTCATGTTGATACGGTGGTTTACTCTGGTAACTCAGACAAAATGAATTTGACCACAAGTTGATTCAGATACAATACATTCAGGAATAGTAGGGTGATTTTCAGTCTTCCGATGGCCTGAGATAACTTCTATTGTCATAGTCACCGTTGCTCCTATAACGTTATATCGTGTGTTTAGCAGTATTGTGTGTGTGTGTGTGTGTGTGTGTGTGTGTTTAGCAGTCTTAAAGATAATTTTAACTGAGTAGCTGTAAGTGACAACAAAGATCGCTAAATGTGTATTCAGATGTCTTTTGGCCTGTGGCGCTCTCAGAATGCCTCCGCAGAAGGTTCATTGTGTGGCTTCTTCAGGACTGCCAGCCGTTAGTTTCTTATTTCATGAGTGTCTCTTCCTCTTCTCTTTCGTGGGTTTTCATTGTCAACCCAAATGCTAAGAATTTGAAGAATCCAGGACTCAGTTCTCAAACCTTTTGTGTCATCTCTGTTCTCAATGATTCCATGTTCCACAAACTGCTAACCACGCCCTAAGAAGAGTAGGGATGTGTTACCAGCCATTGACAGCACCCTCCAGTTTATGAAGCATTCCCCTGTGTGTTATCTCAGGAGGTAAGCTTATGAATACTAGAAGTATTCAACATAATGGAGATTAATTTGGAAGCAGAAGAGTAATACACTGAAATATAAAGTTACTAGATCTGGAAAGAAATTTCAGTTCACCTTCTGTTGCCAAAAGTAAATAGTTTGTATTGGCTTTGGACTTGTCACTTAGTAATTAACCTTAGAGCAACTTCTAACAAATGCATCTACAGCATGGTATTAACAGTGACCTTGGAAGAGAATACTGTATTCTATGTGCATGGTATAATGAAAATAATACGTTGTTAACCACTGAAGAATAAAGGTTGCTGATTTATTTAGTAATGCAGGATTATAGAGTGAGTGAAAATTGTTGGCTTCCTTAAACTTATTTTCACCGTAAATCACCTTTATTTCAAAATCTCGGGCATAGAGGTCAGGGAGAATTAAAAAAAAAATTACAAGTGGCATTTTCCTTAGAAAATGCAATCTTTATTTTTCTTCCCAGAATTACTAACACTATGTAATTATTCATTTTGTAGAAATTATTTTATATTACCTGCTGATGATTTTTCTTTCCAATATAAAATATGTCAAACAGATAATGCAAACATGTATTTGTCTACATTAATAATAGTTCCAAAGGGTGCACCTGGATGGCTCAGTCAGTTAAGTGTCCAACTCATGATTTCTGCTCTGGTCATGATCTCAGGTTCATGGGATCGAGCCCCGCATGGGACTCCATGCTCAGCACAAAGTCAACTTAATATTCTGCTTGAGATTCTGCTTGAGATTCCCTCTGCCCCCTCCCCTTCTCTCTTTCTCTCAAATAAATAAATGATCTTTAAAAAAGTAGTTCCAAAAGAATAATAGTTCCAAATAAGCATATTAAAAGTATGTATATTCTTTCTAACATTAATGTGTCACCAAATTCAATTAAAATAAAATGTACTTGGTTTACTTTGCAAAGTGAGATAAATAGCCCTTTAATAAATTATCCTCCACCTAAGAAAGTTTACTGAAAATAACTAAAGAGCTTATGTGTTTCCTTTATTCAGTGATGCTAAAAATTAATCTTCTTTATAAGGTTACTTAGATCCAAAGTTTGTGACACAGTGAAAATAATCTTGAAAAATGACTGTATATTCTAATATATATTTTACAGTGCTTATGA